GTGGACGAGAAGCAAGTTAAAGAAGTGAGAAGAGAGGGTGGGGAATAAGTACATGGGAAGAAAAAAAGGAGGAAAGGGGTGAATGGAAATAAGGCTGTCGGGGAAGCCTCTCAGAGAAGACATCTGGGCAAAGACCTGAAGGAGGTAAAGCGGTAAGCATAGAGCAGAGGAAAAGGGGAGGGGACTGAGAGGTGAGGCCAAGGATGCAACAGGAAGCAGATTACACAGGGCCTGATGGGCCCTGTAGGCTTATCCACACCTTAGACGTGATCGCCCAGGGCTGAGGGCAGTCAAGGAAAGCTTCCTAGAAGAGGCAGAGGCTTTTGTCTGGGGCCTTGAAGGCAAGGAGGATTCTGATAACGAAAGACTATAAGAAAGGCAGTACCGTCTGCAGGTTAGAAATTCCCCCTTTGTAGCTAGACCCAAGTTCAAGTCCCAGCTCCATCAGTTGTTCCCTGGGAGACCTTGGGCACATCACTTTGCCTCTCTGAGCTGGTTTCTTCATCCAGAAATCAGCAATAATAATAGCCCCTTCTTCTCTCAGTGGTTGACGGGATAAAACGGGGCGGCACAGACCCTCACCCATGGTAGGTGATCGATATGTGGTCACTGGGGTCCTTCTGGGAAGGAGCACATTGCTGGGAGGGCCCGCACAGGGCCGGAAAGTCATCCCTCCTCCTCTTTCCTTCTCAGTGGCCCCAAGTCCCCCAGCCCCAGTTTGGTCAGGATGCCATTAGTTCATTAATTAACTTTCAGCCACCAGAGGCTAGGGTTTCCTCAGAAGGGACCCATGGTCTCATGAGCTACAGCTTTCCCTCCCACCCCAGGGCTTTTGCACATGCTTTTCCCACTCCCTACATTACCCTCCCTTGCCATCTCCTCCACCTGACTGTTCGTCAGATCTCAGCCCAAATGCCAGTTCCTCCAGGGGAAGCAACCTTGCACTCCAGGACCCCCTGCTCCACACACTTACAGCTCCTGTACTTTTTTCTCTCAACTCTTATCACAGTGTAGAGTAATGTCTTTCCCTGCCATTAGACACACCATACTGGCCTTGTTCACTGCTGTGTCCTTGGTACACAGCAGGCACTCAATTTGTAATTGTCAGCAAAAGCCAGAAGTCTCACTTTCAAATCACTCAGTCCAGTCTCCTGTCTGTTTCCCAGAAGGGACTGAGACCTAGGGTAAGCAGCCTGCCCACACTGCATAGCAAGTCTGCTGCAAGTCCAGCTTCTTCTGAGACCCTGCTGGGCTGCCCAGCCTCCGGGGCCCCTCAGACCCCAGGGCTTCCCCTGCCACCATCTCGGATAAATGGTGAGGCAGCTCCAGGAGGAAGCACCAGGCCAAAGCACGTTTAATTTTAATTTAGGAATCGGCTAAGGCTACAGGCCTGCTCATCTCTGGGCTGTCAGTCAGTCTTCCTCAAGGCTGCATCAATTAGTTTAAAAATATTGAATGTAATTTTGCCTGACACAACATATTGCAGCTACTGCAAAATATAATTTATTTTAGAAGAAGAAATAATTAAACTAATTTGCATGTCAGTCAGCTGAACTGAGATGCCAAGAGGGGAGTGGGGCCCTGTGGGTACCTGGCCCCTGGAGCAGGCACCTTTCAAAAAGCAGTGGGTGAAGTCAGCTGTCACCAACTAGACAAAGAGCCAGGCAGCAGGGCCCATGTACACTGTATCTGCACCAAGCAGTAGACCAAACCCCAGCTCTGCTCCTGTCCTGCTTTGTGGCTTTCAGCAAAGTCCTTTCCCTCTCTGGGCCTCAGTTTTCTCATCTACGAAATGGAATTGACAAACTTCCTTCACAAAGACGGTGTCATAGGTATGAAAGTTTGTTGTGAATTGGAAAGTCCTGCAAAGAGGTCCATATTAATCAATTTAGTGATGGATCCCTGTTTTACACTGGAAACATTTAAGGTGGTAAATTATTAATGATTCTGATCAATTTTTGTAAATGATACTGATTGTGATCAGGTGATCAGGTTGGACTCCCTCACCTGCCGGTCCCCGAAGGGTGGAGGCTGGCAGCCTTGCTACACATTAGAGTCATCTGAAGAGCTTCATGAAAGACATGAGTGACTCGGCCTTCCCTCTGACCCATGCTAATGATTCTGACTCAGCGACCCTGTAGGACAGAGTAGAACTGTCCCATAAGGTTTCCAAAGCTGTAAATCTTTACGAAGCAGACTGCCTAATCTTTCTCCCATGGAGTGGCTGGTGGGTTCAAACCGCTGACCTTTTGGTTAGCAGCGCAATGCTTTAACCACTATGCCACCAAAGCTTCTTGACCAGGCCATGGACATCGATGTTTTCCAAAGGCTTCCCAGGTGGTTCTGGTGTGCGGCCAGGCTAGAGACCCACGGCTGGAGTCACATCAACACGGCAGGCCGACTGGCCAGCCCCCAGCTCTGGCGCTCCAGTCCTGCTTCCGATCCAGGGCTCTCAGGACAGGCTCTGCAGGTGGCAGCTGTGACCGTGTGGATGCACATCCTCTTCAGTGCTCTCTCAGCTGCCCCATCCCTTAGACCTGAGACCCTCACTCACTCCAAAAGGCACAGGACTTCTCCAAGAGGTGACCAGTGACACTTTAAAAGAGGAAACGGGGCAGTCATGGAAGTCCCACCAGCAGTGACCAGCCCTCCAGCAGGGCGATTGGCCACGGGGGGGGGGGGGCCTTCCTGCTCAGAGCTTTCCTTCCCATGGGCCCTCTCTCCCCCTCCAGGCCCTGCCCTGTGGGCCTCACCCTCCCCTCCTTCCCAAGCCCCCACTGTCTGTTTGTTTAAGTTCTCTGGCAGCACGCTTTCAAAAATAACGCTCACCCAGCATTCCCAGTCACGACTTCCCTCGCTCACCCCCGGAAAAGCCCCCTCTGATCACCGAGGCAGCAGATCAGGGTGAACTGAGAAGATAAGGTGCCCTGGTTAAGGGGCACTCCAGAGGGGGGTCAGAGTCTGAGTTAATTAAGGACTCACCCCCTCATTCCCAGAGCCCCCCAGGAGGTGGCCGCACCTGCCTCCCAGCTTCCATTTCTCTCTTTATCAACACACGCAGCTGCTGGCATTCAGTGGACCCCTGGGTTCAAAGAAAGAGGTAGGGGCCAGCCTCACTATCCCCAAAACTCTCATGGTGCCTGGCTGCCTGGAAATGTCCAGGCTAACCCCAAAATAGTTCCCTGCCAACCAGACCCAAGACCTAGCCGTCAGAGTCACTGCTGGGAAGTGGGGTGCAGTTTCCTCTCCCAGGGGATGTGCCTGGCGTTACTGTAGCTGGGACCTGTCAGCAATGAACATGTGGCTAAGATAGCAGGACTGGGTACCAGTGAGGTTCCCCTAGAGCCAGAACAGGCTGGTGTTGGTGTGCTGCTCAGAGAGGGCAGGCTGGGATGAAGTGTCCCAATACATAATGTCCTTGCTGAAAAGAGCCTTTGAAGGCATCTGTTTGTTTAATGAATAATTATATAGTTCTTACTATGTGTTGTACACACAGTCATAAGTGCTTTGCAGATATTAATTCAGTCTGTCCTCTTAGCCCTATTTTGCAGGTGAGAAAACTGAAGCACAGAAAGATCACACAACTAATAAGTGACAGGGTTGGGATGGAATCCACTGGCTCCAGACTCCTGGCTCTTAGTCACTATAAAAAAAAAAAAAAAAATTCACTGCTGTCGAGTCGATCCGACTCATAGCAACCCCTCCGTGGGTTTCCAAGGCAGTATCTGTATAGAAGTAGATTGCCCAGTCTTCCTTTCGAGGAGTGGCTGGTGGGTTTGAACCATCAGCCTTCTTGTTAGCAGTCAAATGCCTTAGGCAGGTGTGGAGATGTATCAGAGAGAGAAAGGTCTGACTCAAGATCAAATGCTGGGTCAAGGACAGAGCAATGCCTAGAATTCAAGCCTCCTTCAGCCTCAGTCCTTCCAGGCTCCATTCATTCATTCAAGAAATGTATTAGAGCTTATTCTGTGCCATGTCCCACAATGCTGGGGGTCAAAGGATGAATAAGAAAGGGATCTTGACCTCAAAGAGATTACTGTTGGTGGGATGGGGATGTCACTGTTTCCGCTGAGGGCCCTGGCCAACACCTACCTCCAGGAGACTTGTCTTGCTCTCTCAGCGTCCGGTTTTGAAAGAGTAGAGGTTTTGAAATTCAGCTGCAACATGTATGGACTGAAGGGCAATTTTTTTAAAACATTCCTACATTTTAGTTCTTTCTATAATGGGGGGGGAGAAACTGCCCCAAACCGCAGGATTTTTGCAAAGATTCCTGGAATATCGGATGGGGTGAATCCAGGTGCATTCTGTGCACTCCGGAGATGGCGATGGTGATGATAGTGCTACTGTTGGTGGTGATGATGTGATGGTGATACAGGTGACTACTGTGGAGGTAATGGTAGCAATGGGCTGTGGTAGTGGTGGTGATGGTGATGGTGATGGTGGGACGATGGTGGAGGTGATGGTGGTGAGAGTGATGGTCTTGGTGCTTGTGATGGTGGGAGGGATGATGAGGGTGGAACTAGTGGATGTGGTAGTGGAGGTAGAGGTGATAATTCTGATGGCAGTGGTGATGATAACAGACATGATGGCGTTGGTGATGGTAATGATGGTGGTACTGATAGTTACGGTGATGGAGGTGGTAATGATAGTGCTAATTAATGGTGGTGGTGATGGTTTAATGGTGGTCATGACAACAGTAATGGTGATTGTGATGGTACTGAAGTAATGGTGGTGGTGAGGCGACAGTGGTAATAGGATGGTACTGGTGATTATGATGGTGAAGGTTGCAGTGATGGTGCTAATGATGATGGTGACAGTAATGGTTGTGGTGATAGCCACATATGCTCAGATGCCCCATTCTTGGTTCTGTCACCAACTTGGTCCACCCACAAATCTCTCAGTGTGACTTGACTGTCTAATCTTGCTCAAGTACCAGACAGGGATGTTGTCTCGACCTCACTGTTGATGCCACTCCTCCTACTCCTGTGTTCTGGTTGCAGACAATCATGCCCAGCTATCCCGGGCATCCCTAAGGATACGAATCTTGGACGTGAATGACAATCCTCCGGAACTGGCCACGCCCTATGAGGCAGCTGTGTGTGAGGACGCCAAGCCAGGCCAGGTACCAGTGAGGGGCTGGGAGGTGCTACCAGGACTAGCTAAGGGCACCCTCTACCCGGGTTGGGGTGGGCTCAGGCTCCTGCCCTCCCTCACCTTCCAGCTCATCCAGACCATCAGCGTGGTGGACAGAGATGAGCCCCAGAGTGGCCACCGCTTCTATTTCCGCCTGGTGCCTGAGGCTCCCAGCAACCCTCACTTCTCCCTGCTTGACATCCAAGGTGAGTTACCTTTAACCCACCAAATCCTAGGATACGTGGAGGGAGGGCTCCAGCTTCCCTGCTGCCTCCCCTTTTCTAGATGGAGAGACTGAGGCACCCAGAGGGCTAGTGTTGGGTCTGTGACCAAGCTGGGGCTGTTCCTCAGCCCACTGACCAAACCATGAATAACAGGCAGCACGTGGGTGGGTGGAGTGCAGAGGGCTTCCCAAGGGGAGGAATGGTAGATGGTAACATTGGCAAGGGGCACACATGACAGTGGCTGGGCCTGGAGCTCCGCCTGGGGTGGGAAGAGCCCCTTGTTCTAAGTGAAGACTGAAATGAGCGTCCTGCACACACTCTCCACCCTCCACTTTCAAAAGTACTATATCCACTCACATTCCCCTTTGCGTCCTCATTCCCACCGTGGGAGGTGGGGGCCTTATCCCTTTCCTCGTTTTGCAGGCAATGAAGCTGAGGCTCTAAGAGAATAAGGGGCATGCCCAGGATCACGGGCTGGAGTTCAAACCCACACCTGTCTCAGACCCAGTGCTCTTCCTACCTTAGCTCACTACCACCCCTACTGCACCAGGCTGAGCTGATCCCACTGTGAGATGTCCCCCAGCTAATTCCCCAAGAAGTTGATGTTTGAACCTTTTGGGAAATGGGTTGCAGGGAGGCAGGGGCAGGATGGATGAATGGACTGGAGTTAGGAACCTGGGTGCAAGTCCACACTCAGTGGATGGCTCTCTATGCACATGTCTGTACTTCTCTGGGCTCAGTCTCATCATCTGTAAAATGGGCTGATGACACCTCAGAGGGCTAGGTGGTCCCAGTAAGATGGAAGGCTACCAATGTATGTTGTCAGACTTGCTGTTTTGTTGTTCTTGTTGTCATGTGCTGCTGAGTCAGTTCTGACTCACAGCAACCGTGTCCAACAGAACAAAACACTGCGCCGTCACAGTCATTGCCGTGCTTGAGCCCATCGTTGCAGCCACTGTGTCTGTCGATCCATCTCGGTGAGGGTTCCCCCTTTTCACAGGCCCGCTGCTTTACCTGGCATGATAACGTTCTCTAGGTCGTACTTGGAACATATCAATTCCTTCCTCAGCAGATATTTATTGATCATCTAATACGTTCCAACGAGCTCTGGTAGCGTAGTGGTTAAGGTACTTGACGGCTAACCAGAAGGCCGGTGGTTCAAACCCACCAGTTACTTCTCGGAAGGAAGGTTGGGTAATGTACTTCTGTAGCGATACTGCCTCGGAAACCCAAGGAGGGGTCGCTATGAGTCGGGGCCAACTCGATGGCACATAACAACAACAGTATGTTCCAGGCCCTGTTCTGGGCCCTGGAAATACAGTGGCAAATAAGACAAAGTCCCTGCCCTGCTGGAGTTTACATTCAGTGAGGGGAGATAGAAATTAAATAAGTAAATAAGGTGCTGGGGGTGATAAACAGCTTTTGAGGGAAATGATATACACAAGCCAAAAAATAACCCATTGCCATAGAGTCAGTTCTGACTCATAGCAACCCCCATTGGGTTTCCAAGGCTGTAAATCTTTACAGAAGTAGACTGCCTCATCTTCCTCTTGTGGAATGGCTAGTGAGTTAGAACCACTGACCTTGTGGTTAGCAACCAAATGCCTTACCCACTATGCCACCAGGGCTCCTTAATCTATACAAGAGTCTGTAGTTTTTTTTAATAGAGTGGTCTGGGAAGGCCTCTTGGAGAAAATCAGTGGTTGACTAGAAATCTGAAGGAAATGAGGGAGGGAGCTGTGTGGACAACTGGACAGAGGCCAATCCTGCAGGTGGAAAGGCCCTGAGGCCTGGGGTGTTCGAGGCACAGAGGAGACTAACATGGTGAAGGGAGTGAGCAACAGGATTGGCAAGAGATGTGCTCAGAGAGACAACAAGCAGGCAGGGAGCACAGCGTGCTGGTTCCTTCTGGCCCTGGATGGGGCCTGGGGTCACCTTCAGGAACTTTATACCCCCACCCAAAAGGGAGAGGCCCTCAGTGACCTCTGAAGCCTGACCTATCTGTGTTCCCAGGAGTCATATTAAAACTATTTAACAACCAGTGCAGCTCAGATATCCAAACAGAAAGGACCCTGATCCTAACTGGTGACAGGCTCCTGGGGCCCCTGCTGTGCAGGCATTAACTCTTTAGTTGCTTGGTTGTGGCAAGGTTGAGGGAGTACAGGGAAGAAAGGCTGAGGTAATGGAAGGACATTTGAGGGGCTCAGAGTAGTGGCTACTTAAACCTTTTTGTAACTATCTCAGTATTTCAACAACTGGTACAGCAGGTTATCTGCTCATTATGCTAGTAGCATCCTGAGCTGGCCCCAGGAGGCACAGAGAGACCTGGCTCAACCTGGCCAAGTTCATGAGTCGTTCCACCCCAAGGGGCCTGTCCCAACTGCCTCTGTTTGTCTGGGAGCCACCAGCATGCACATCCAGCATGACCACCAGGTCCAAGCTCCCAAGCAACGGTGGCAACAGTGTGCCTGAGGTCAGAGCAGCCAAGGAAGGGCCCCCTCCAGCCCCCCAGCTCCTTCCCACAACGTGCCAAGCCCCCTCCTCCTCACCATATAAATATCCTGGATGACAAATGGCTACCCCAACCCATCTGTTTCTTTGTACAAATTTGTAGCCAGTTTGGAAACGTGATTTATAAATATTGCTTCTGCAGCCAGGGATTGACACTGATCTATGTCAGGCCAGATGGATGGATGCGGTACCGGGCGCCAGTCCCACCTGGAAGGGTGCGGTGGGGGCCTGGGCCAGCCAGAGGCTTTTCCAGCTGTGACCAGCTGCTGCCCAGGAGGGCAGCTTGGGAAGTTCGGGCATGATAGGATGGAGGAGTGGCAGGGACCAGAACCTTCAGAGCATATGGCTCCATGCCCAAAGACAGCAATCCTGTGAGACAAACATCTTCCCTCCTCTACTCTGCTCTTGCTGGGGAATTTGAGGCTAGCCAGAGCCAACCACTCATTTCTCCAATCTGTCAACCTCTCCCTGCCTCCACTACCACTATCTCACACCTAAACACACAATACCTTCTTAACTTCTCTTCTACATTCCCTCTTGTGTTTTCGATGATAAGCTTTCTGAACTAGAATGTAGGCTCAGCAGGGGCAGGGACCATGTCTGTCTTGTTCATTATAGTCCCAGCAACTAACACAGCCCTACTAGTAAAGGATACGCAATGAGTATTTGTTTTTGAATGAATGGATGATATATCATGAGGTCACATTTTTGCCTAAAACCCATCAGTCATTGGCCTGCCATTGCTTTTATGAAAATAATCCAAATTCCTTACCACAGCCTCCAAGATCTTCCATGGCAAGCCCCTGCCTCCCGAACTTCAGCCTTAATCATGACTCACTGTAACTATGCTGGACTGCTTTCCATTCCTGGAGTGTGTTATGCACTTCCCAACCTCAGGGCCTTTGCACGTGCTGTTCTCTCTTCTGGTTAATGCCTGCTCATCACTCAGGGCTCAGCAATAATAATCACTTCTTCCAAGAAGCCCTCCATGGACTTCAAGGCTGGGTCAGGTCCTCTGTTATGTGCTCTTCCTGTCTTTGTAACATTTGCCATACTTTGTAATTGTAGTCAATTGCAGGTTTATTTGATTAATATTCATCTCTCACATTCAAATATGAGCTCAGATCAGGGACTGTGGTTGGTTCTCCAATCTTTTCCTCCAGTGAAAAGCATGATGCTAGTACATAGGGGTTACTCAATAAACATTTTTTAAATGGATGGATGGGTGGGTAGGTGGATGGATGAATGCATGATTTGATGGGTTGCCACCTAGTCATTGGTCGGCAGGGGACAGCCCCTTATGTATATCTGAATGAACCATGTGCTCAGTCATCAGTTACCTGTGCCTTGACACCTTAACAGGAGCTCTGGTGGCATAGTGCCTAAGGCGTTTGACTGCTAACCAGAAGGCTGATGGTTCAAACCCACCAGCCACTCCTCAGAAGGAAGATTGGGCAATCTACGTCCATAGAGATACTGCCTCGGAAACCCAAGGAGGGGTTGCTACAAGTCGAGTCAACTCGACAGCAGTGAGTTTGGTTTTTTTGGTTTTTGACACCCTAGCAGGCACTCCCCCTGGTAGGTACAGGAATTGAAGGCACAGTGTCAGATATGAGTTCAGCAAGTCACTTCTCTCTGAGGCTCAATTTCCATGTGTATTAAATGGGGGCAATGCCACAACTTCTGATGATTGTAGGCATTAAATGTGACTGTGTTTAGAGCACCCAACACAGCCTTGGTACAGAAAAAGCACCTGGTCAGTGTGAAGGACCCCACACCATTCCTTCTTCTCCCCTCCTGGCTCTTGACCTCTTTTCCTCCTCAGGAGCAGGCAGGTGTTTCCCCAGCTGGGGTTGTCTCATCCTTTGACAGAGGTCTTGAGTTCAGGCTGGAGCTTGAGAACTGACCCAGGACCAGCAGCTCCCGCAAAGTTGTGGTTCAGACATTGCTCTCCAGGACTGGCTCAGCGCCGGGCCCCAGCTGACGACGTAGTGAAGAGACAGGCACACACTAATGTAACACAACGTGACAAGTGCTGTAACTGAGGTGTGCCTGGCCTCTGTGTAGGCAGAGCAGGGAGGGGGAAGCCATAAATCCTTCCTTCCTAGGCAAGCTGAGAAAGGAGGCCACAGAAAGGAGGTGACATTTAGCTGGAGCATGACAGATGAGGAATTTGCCCGGGCAAGAGGGCAGAGAGGGCATTCCAGATAGTGGAAGCTGCTTGAGTGAAGGCAGGGTAGCCTGGCCAGAGGGTGATGGCTTGGTCCAGCCTTTCTGTGCAGGGACTGTTCTTAGGGTTATGGGTCGATTATACCATTTAATCCTCACACCTGTAAGGATTCAGTTACGCTTCATTTTCTTCATTTACAAATGGAGAAACTGAGGTCCAAAGAGGCAAAGTTTCCCAAGCTAGTAAATGATGGGCTCAGTCTAATTTTTTAACATTTTTATGGAAGTTTTCACATTGCAAT